TCTGATAACATGCTACTATGACAGAGGTGGCATGGAATGTCAAGTTTTGATTCGGAAAGAATATTGGATGTCTGGTTTTTCTTCCCAAGTATTTAAGTATCATCTCAAAGACCAATAATGTTTAAGCCAGAAAGTGATATCATCTGATTTTCAGCTCATATCCCTGGCAAAAGAAAGTTAGGAGATTTACACGGGGATTAAAAGGAGAATTTCGAGATGTGTCGGCACACACCTTTAATCTGGGGGGGTGGGGGGGGATGGCAGTCATATCTCTGGTTTGGGGTTCTGCCTGGCATACACAGTAAGCTTCAGGCCAGCAGGAGCTAAAGAAACCTCAGTTAGAATTAATGCAAAAGTCCTTCTCAAATACTGTGATTTAAACGAGAGCTTTTCCTTCTTACTATTTTATTCCAATCTAAGGCTAAGTAAAAAAAGGGTAGTAACAATTATTATTAAATTGATTGAATTAATCGAATTTTTTTTTTTGAAAGATGCCTGTGAGAGTTTCTACCATGCATATTTTGGAGGACTGAGTAGGAACAGAAAGTTAGCAGACTGATACACTGCGGTCTGCTGACTAAAATGTAAGATGCTAATTTAAGGAAATGGTGGATCTTAAATTGTGGTAGAGACAATGAGGTGAAACAGGTGAAAGAGGAATGCAGAAAAAGGAAATCTGACAACACCTTCAGATCTATAAAAGGTAAAATGAGGTATGAAGAGTACCTACTAGATTTGCAAGCTAAAAAAGAGTTAATAGTAGTGCCACTTACTGAAGAATTTTAAAAAAAAGGAGAACTTGGTGGGAGGGAGGAAGTGAAGGAAAAGTGTTTATATTTGTTTTGCAATGCCTATAACTTATGTTCATGGAGAAGTGATAGCTAATATTGTTAGTGTCACGTGACAAAGCTCTCTAACTGAAGACGAAAATTTGGAAATTATTAGCATATAGATTTAAAACTACAGGTGGCACATTGTTTATAAGCTGAATGACTATTATCATAAGAAACTTAAATGAGGGGCTAGAGTGATGGCTCATCAGTTAAAAGCACCATCTGCTCTTCCATTCCCAGCACCCTCATGGCAGCTCACAACTGTCTTTACCTCCAGTTTCAGGAGATCTGACAGCCTCACACATATATGTAGGCACATTAACGCACATTAAGTAAGCAAATAAATAAATAAATAAGCAAATAAACAGAGAAATGAATAAATAAAAAGATTGAAGAAAAGTGGGGAAAAGGAAACTTGAATGAAATAACAAGCATAACTCAATCTCACATGATTATATTAAATAAACACACTGAAGGCCATTTATTTAAGAAGAATTCTGAATAATACACCAACAATTTAAGGTTAGAAGGCCGGGTACTGTGACATCCATCTTTAATCCCAGAAGTTAAGAAGGAGGAGGAGAATCTCCGAAAGTTCAAAGACAGCCTGGTCTACCAAGTGTGTTTTATAGCTAAGGTTACACAGTAACCTCAAAAACATAAAATAATAAAATATTTAAGCTAGAGAATTTGAATATGATTAGTGATGCATTTTAAAAAAGGTAAAAGGCAAATGACTTAATTAGGCTATGAAAAGGAGAAACCAGTGGGATTATGGTTTTATCTAAGATATATTTCTCGATGCACTAGAAAACACATAAACATAAGCTACTTTCCAAACTTTCTTAAAGATCTGAAATTTTTAAAACATTCTAAGATGATAAATATCTAAGGATTTTTTCTGTTAAAATATTACAAATATTTGACAAATACAAGTTTAAAAAATTAAATTGCTCAGAAATGTAATTCCATCCTTTATGTCCATAATCTAAGTAGAGACTAAATATTTCATTCCACATTTCCAAATGCTCCAAATCCCATCTAAAGGAACAATACAATTCTATACTGCCCTCATCTACTCATCTATGTTTGGGGTATTCATGCTTTTTTTCCCAGCTTTAAAAAATAGCAAATGAACATGACAAATATTAAACAATATCCCTCAAGTTGGGAAATATCATTTAACAAATATTTCTATTGAACAAAAGTACTCACAAAAATATTAGGACAAATAAAGATTCCAACCTACAAACACCCAGTGAAACTGGTTCTTAAGGTCAATGTAGTACTGAAATCTAAATTTCTTTCAGAATGGTGGGTAAGAGCTATGAGCATATGGATACAAAATATTAATGATGCCAAGTGTAAGAAAGCATAGATATAGTACTGGTACTAGGAAAGCTAATGCAGAGTGTCAAGCGTGAAGCAAGACTTTATCTCAAATCAGCAATAACCAAGAGAGTAAAACGCAAGGCATGATGGTGTATGCTTGTAATGCCAGCACTTGAGACAAAAGGATTAAGAGTTCAAGCTCTAAACTGCTTTTTGGAGGGATACCTTGCACAGCCTAGATATGGGAGCGGGGTGTGTGTGTGTGTGTGTGTGTGTGTGTGTGTGTGTGTGTGTGTGTGTGTAGAGGGCCTTGGTCCTGCCTCAAAGTGGTATGTCAGACTTTTTGACTATCCATGCATGGGAAATCTTACCCTCTATGAGGAGTGGATGGGGGATGGGGTAGGGGAAAAATGGGAGGAGAGAGTGAGAACTGGAATTGGTATGTAAAATAAGAAGAGATTATTTTAAAAAAAATTAAAAAAAAAAGAGTTCAAGATCAACATCAGCTATATACTGAGTTTAATACTAGTCTAGGCTACAGAATACCCTGCACTTAAAAGAGAAAGAGAAAGGGAGGGGAGGAGGGAGTGAAGGAGGGAAGTAGGGATATAGAGAGAAACAGAGACCAAAAGGAATAAATGAAAGAAGAAATCTCAAATGTATGGGCAGGGCAGTATCTAAGATATTATATTTAGATTAGACTTAATTCCTTCTATTAGTTAAACCTTCAGTGTACTTGGGAAGAACACATGAAAAAGAAGCATAGGATATTAAGAGTTGGAATTTTCAGAACCTGATATTTCACTTATGACTATCATGTTTAATAGAACACAACCCTCTTCTTTTCATAATTAACCTGTTGCTCTGAAAAAAAAAAAAAACTACCCTGGATAAGAACAAGATGGCTCAACAGAACAACCTAAGTTCGATCCCCAGAACTCACACAGTAAAAATAGCCTAAATTGTCCTTTGATTTATATATGCGTTCTGTGGAATGCACAGTATGCACACATACATACTCACAAACATACTGTTAAAAAAAAACTGACAAAGGCAATCTAAGGGGAAAAACAGTCTACAGTTTTTAGCCTACAGTTCCAAAGAGGTACATACAAGCTCATTATGGTGGGGAAGACATGGCAGTAAACAAGGGAGGCATGGAGGAGAAAACAGGAGGTCAGTTGGTCACATTGCATCCACATTCAGTGGGTACACAATGAACATCAAGTGGGGCCAAGATATCAAGCCTCAGGGCCAAGCCCCCAGGGTGCCTTTCTTCAACTCTTGAAGATTCTACAACATGCCCAAATATCATCGCAAGCTGAGAAACAAGTATTCAGATACATGAGACTAATAGGATATTTCACATTCAAAGATCAATATCCTTAACTTCCATTTCTACACAAATCACACTTAGGTAATGTAACATTACATTATCAGCAACTTCCTTCTACTCTTTTGTCTAGAGAAACTATGACTTTATATTAATTCACAGAATATAAAACTAGATAAGAATTCTTACAGTTTTGTTTGTTTTACCTCTTTTGCAAATCCTAAATCTCTTATGTGACCTTCATGAGATTGACAAACCACAACTTCACATCCTTTCCTTCCAAAGATGCTACACAGCTGCTTTAGCTGCTTCTATAGTATACCTCTACCTTCATGGACACTATTCTTTGGACCCAGAGTCATCTGTCACTCCTACTTACTTTTTCTTCTTCCTAGAAAGTGCTCTTAAGTTTAATTCTAGCAAGGATAACATAGAAATAGTTATGAATATACTATTGTTTTTACGTGGGTCAGAAAAATTGTTTTAGGTACCAAGAAGAGATGGGTGCTAAAATAACTTCAATAGTACCCTTGCTCACCAACTATTTTAAAAACTGACTGTGGAATTTCTAAGTGCTCACCAACACATGCTGAATTTCTGTAGGAAAAAAGAATCCACATTTGCATAAAATATCATGAATCTGGGCTGGCGAGATGGCTCACCATTTAAAGGCTAGGCTCACAACCAAAAACATGAATCTAAAAGAATTGCTGAGTAAAGAAATACATGTGAATGGCCTTAGAAACAAATCTTAACCAAAAAAAAAAAATCATCTTAAAAATGTTCTTTAACTCTTCAACTAAAACAAATAACTCAAACTAATGTCTCATGGCGTAAGTTTACATGATACTATTATACACTGTCCCATAACTTATTTCATTGATGGTTTCTGTGATGGATGATCTCGAATTACCTAAGAGACAAGCTTCCAGTTATGTCTGAGAGACTATAATAATTATGTTAGTCTCTGGAAATATCTGTAAGGGATTATCTAAATTACAGTAATAAAGGTAAGAAGACCCACCCTGAATGTAAGTGACACCATTTCAGGCACTAGGATCCCAAACTACATGAAAAAGAGAAAGCTAATCTGGAACACTGTACACCTCCCTCTGCTTCCTGACCATGGATGCAATGTGACCATCTTCCTCAAGGTCCAGCCACAGAAATTTCTGATAATAAACTGCACCCCTTCCTTAAGTTACTTTTTTGCTCAAGATAAGACAGTAAATAATATTAAAAATATAGACTTCAGAGATTCTGTAAACTATTCATTTTAACTTTTTTGTTTTTCTGCTAAGAATATAAAGACTAATGGTGCTGGCAAAGTTTAATGAGGATTTTGTGTATAGTACCACAGTTTAAGACCAGCTTAAAGAATACTGGTGATTAATTTGAAGTAGTATATTTTAAGTAAAACAATGATTTCTTCAGATGACCACACATCAAATACATTCAATTTTATGAACATCTAGAAAAAAATCAAAACTTTGTATTTTTACCTGGTCTAGGTACAGGCTGGGCTGCAGGAGTTTGAGTCTTACGGGCAGATGCACCTTCCTTTAAAAGATAAAAATTGATGCATGATATCAAAGTTCATTTACATAACAAACATTTTTAAGAGATCTGCTATTGATCTCCCATTTAGTCAGTCATTTGGCCAAGGCCTATTAAATTTAAAGAATAAAATATTTAAGAGGTTAAGATTGCTGTGTGTAAAAGAACAGCTAGAGAACAGCTTGTAATACAGTGAGTTCTAGGCCATTCTGAGCTACATAAGACCCTGTTCTCAAAAAGATCCCTGACCCTTAAAAAAAAGTACCACTGTCACAGTCAGAATTGCTCTTGAAGCCATGCCTTGTCTTCCATGATGAACTAGACCCTAAAATCATGAGGAAAAATAAACAAGTAAGCAAAAGTCCTACTTACTTTATGCTTTTTAGCACGTTATACTAATGAAGGTATTTAGTGAAAATTTACATTGGTAATATTACAAGTAATATTCTTAATTATTTGCTTAATTGTGAAAAACATTAACATTTTCAGAAACAGTGTTATTTGACTGCTTTTTGTAACTTCTGAGATTTATTTTTAATGAAGTGCTGGGAATCAAGTTTAAGGTCATGTATACGTCTATGACTAAAACACATTCTAGTCTACCTATTTTAAAGTCTACTCAAGTATTTTTCCTCTGTAAGTACAAAAATGGATAAACAACACCTAATCTTGTTATATAATGAGATATAATGACACTTCTTGGTAGATCTTTAAAGCAGGTAACTAGTTCACATAATTAAATGTTTGTACAATGAGCAATCCTTGATTAATGAAGTAATCATTCTCTGGTCAGAAAAAATAAGTCCCATTCCTTTGTGACAAAAAGGAACGCATTCTAAACTAGGACAACAAAAGTCCTTTCCTAGGATTACTTCTCACAAATAAGAGCTAGCTGATAAGAACTCTAACCATAAGGCTGAACTGCAAGGTATGTATGTAGGAATAGTAATACTATATCCTTTGACTCAAGAAGATAACTTACTGGCATACAAGACAGAAATAAGTATAAATAAAAACCTAAGAAAAGAATACAATTCCCATTGTTAATTAGCATTCAAATTCTACTTTTCCTCTAATAATTCTTCATAACATAAATCATTAAATTCCTTCATCTCACTCTTTACACTATACACATCATTTAGCCTCAATTCATTGAATCAGATTTTTGTGAGTTGCAAAAGAAAGATTTGTCTATATTGTCTTTTATCAGTTTATGCAAATTTTAAGTTGTCTAAATCACTATTGTATAGTTTTGGTTAATCTGAATCCAAAAATAGTTATACAGTGTGATACAACAGTACTTTATGAACAAGACAAAACTAGGAAGATCCTTATTGTGTCATTAATTTACAGCCATTTCCAGGACTCCCTACCAAATGCCCACTTAAAAAAGCATTTTATACTTGGATCTCCGATGCTCTGAAATTGCGTAAACGATATAACACAATTCTACCACTCTCTACTGTGAAGATGAAAAGCTGAAATATTTTCAAAGGTATATAGTTGTGTGTTTGGCATGAATGAAAAAGAACAGCAATTTGGCAGTGACAAACTGTTAACTGGAGAGGAAACGTGCTTTCTCCTTTTTTTCATGGGGGGGGGTCTAGCATTACAGCTGCATTAAAACATGACATATTTTGAGAAAGTTAGAACGCCTCAATTATATAGAAGAAAACAGTGACAGAGTTGCATTTCCAAGAAATAAGACAAGTTTTGTTTGTTTGTTTAGGTTTGTTGTTTACAAGTAACTCTTGCTTATTTTATTTTACTGAATGAAATAATCTAAGATCCTATGGCAATGGAAAATGAGTATCTGCTACTTAAACAAGTAGGCAAAGTATTTCCCGGATGTGGTTGGTAGTACAGATCTGTCATGCTAGTAACTGAGAAAGAAAGGACAGGAAGATTCCAGAAGCTCACCAGCTACTCTAATATTACAGTATTACATTCCACAGTGCTTTAGATGACAAAAATCCACACACACACACACACACACACACACACACACACATTGTGCTTGTATGTTAATAGTAAAAAGGCTGAAAAATAAATGAAAAAAATCTACTAATAATACTATTAAAATAATGATGTTTAGGAATGAACTTTAGCCCAGGTAGATAGCCTTGGGTCAATAAAATTTATAACATATTCCCGAAATGACTAAATAAAAATATGCCTCCATTTCTGGACTTTTAGAATTACTATGTTAGGATTTGCATACTACTACCTGAAATCACCTACATATTCAATAATTGCTATTAAACTCTCAATTTTGCAGGAATAGAACAACCTATCCTAAAATTCACATAAAATCATAAATAACTTCAAATAACTAATCTTAAAAGAAAGATACAAGTTATAAAACTCAACTTCCAATTTTCAATACTTAGTACAAAACTATAGTAACTCATAAAATGGGAAAAAGTTTTTTCCAACTTAGTACAAAACTATAGTAACTCATAAAATGGGAAAAAGTTTTTTCCAAGTCATTTATATGATTAAAAATTAACAAAGAATCCTTTCATCTTATAACAAATGATGAAAAAAAAGAACCAATTCAAAAAAGGTTCAGAACTTAAAGAGAAAATTCTCTAGAGAATATTTACAAATAATCAATAAGCATATGAAAATATGTAAAAAAAACACCACTAGTCTTTTGAGAAGTAAGGTATCTTATTTCTCATTAGGATAGTTACTGGCAAACAATAAAAGGAAAAAATGACATTAAAAAATACCAAGTACAGGAGTTAGAAAAATGGCTCAGTCATTAAGAACACATAGTACTTTTGTGGAGGATCTGAATTCAGTACATAGCACCCATGTTAGGCAGCTCACAATTCTAGCTGCCAGAAAAATCTCACACCTCTATGGGCACCTTTATTCACATTTACATAACCCAAACATACATAGATACGCACACACACAGAATTTCTAAAAGAAAACTTAAAAAGATAAGCTCAACACCAATTTTAAAAAACAGAACTCTCAATGCAAGGTTGGCATGAATGTAAAACAAGTATGACAGTGGTTGAAGACATTAAACAAAGAATAACCATGTACACCAGTAATTCTAGCCATGGGTACCTACCAAAAAAACTAAAGATTGGTATTTGAATATAAATAGATATGTGTGCATTTTTGTTTGTAGCAATAGTATTCAAACAGAAGCCAGAGTGAGAACAACCCAACAGCAACTCTAACATATGAATGGGTAAACAAAATATGAGGTACACAACTTCTTTTACTCAACTGTAATAAAGAAAATAAGACTCAAACACAATATAATGCTGATGAGCACTGAAAATATAATGCTAAATAAATTAAGTAAAACACAGAAAAACAAATATTTAATGTTTTCACATATGAGGTACCCAGATTACTCAAGTTTGGAGACAAAAGGCAGATTAGTCATTATTAGGATCTAAGTGCAAGAAGGAATGGAGACTTATTGAGCAATATGTATACACTTTTCTTTTTCTGAAATGAAAAATTCAAGATTAGTGACAGTTGCACATTTTAAATGTAGAGATAGTATCACTGAATTGTAAACTTAGAAATGGATAAAAGTGTATGTTATGCATATTTTATGATTAAAAGAAAGAATAAACATAAAATATGTTTAAGTTACTAAGAACAAAATGGCAGAATTTAAGTATACTCAATGACAGTAGACATGGGAAAAGTCAGGGAGACAGCAGATAAACAATAGTGAGGGCTGTAGTCACAAAGGAGACCATAGGAAAGCTGAATAATCAAGGAAATAAAAAGTCAACCAGCAAAAATGAAATACGTCCACTCAACTTGGGGTGTGGGAGAAGATAAGATTCTTCTACACACTAGCCAGGTGGCTCTGCTTAAAGAAACCAAAAGTCAGTTCTATTCCTGGAACATTAGCAGGTTTGGTGTGAAAGTGATGCCTGGTCACCAGGGAGAAAGAAATTTACTCTGACACTCTCCATACCCCAGAGAGCCGTGACCAGTTCTACCTCCTTGAAAAGGTAATATCTGAGAAAATGCTCCTCTTGGAGTAACAAATACAAATTAAAGAGCCTGGGCATACCCAACTACAATCCCTGAGTAAGTTACATACTAACACACAGAAAACATAGCATGTCAAAGAGCTTGGAGGTGCACAATGGCCTTGATTTCTCTGGCAAGAGGTATAATAATAACAGAGACTGAGAGCCCTGAGCCACAAGTCAGGAGGCAGCTCAGGGTGGCAACAAACATTCTTAGGACTGAAAGTTTTAGAAGGCTGGTTCATGGGACACTTCCCAGTGCCTCACTTCTCCCAAGCAGTATTTCCAAATTAGAAAACACTGAGAAAGTCCTCCAATAATAGATTTGCCTCTCCCACACAAGAGCAAACTCAGGAGACTGCTCTGCTTTAGGTGTTAGCCACAAAAGGTATGCAAATTTCAGAGCATTCTGCAACAAATGAAAACCAGTTAGACCTACAGACTGCAAAGCCAAAGGTGGTCAATAGAGTCATTTTCAAGAATGAGAAAAGTCACTAAAGTGATTGTAGCAATGTTTGTTAAGCAATAGTCTAACATTCTGATTACAGTACAAATACAGAATTTAAAGAGTCACCAACTTTCAATAACAATCCCTTCTACTGACAATATCCTCTACTAGAAAACTGAAAAAGAAAATGCTCCAATACAATACACTCTACTAACCTTTACTCTAAAAACAGTCTAGAGGTCTTTATTTCTCATCTTGTGTTAACTGTGCTCATGGGTTTCTTTAGTAGGGTCAGTTTTTAAATCTCCTTTTTGTCTCTCCTTCTTCCCAATATTCACCATCTTCTTGTTTCTCCTTTTATTTAGCCCTTCCTTCTCCTCCCCACTCCTTTCCTGTACCTTCATAATATTTAACTTCATAGCTTACTCTATATTATTCCCCATTCTCACTGATAACATCAACATTAATCAACCTATTAATAAGATGTATTTCTGCAAAGTGAGGACATGGCTCAATGAATAGAGAAATTGCTACAT